GAGCTCCCTTCCAACCCCAGCATCCTGTGATCCTGTGATCTGCATCCATCCTGGTTCTGGGTGCCTTTTGTTTTTTTTTCTAATGTTTCATCTTATGGCTTAGCTACCTGTTGCATGCAGTGAGCTGCCACAGAACTTCCCTTAGCGTCTCTGTGATGTGACAGTCACTACACCAAGCAGAGAAGTGTGGCTTGTTTTGTTTTTCAGCCTGCTGGGGGAAGACCATGTTTGCCTGAGCATTCTTACTTGTATCTGCCTAAGAGCATGTGCTGTCTGATGGCTGGAGCAAGGAGATGCCTTTGCACACATGTGGTCTGCCCCAGAGAATTGTGCTACTTGGTTTTGTGCTGTTCTTTCTTTTTCCTCCTTGAATTCTATGTGTGTGACCTCTGCCTGTGAACAAGAAGGCTTTACTGCGTTTTCTTTTTTTCAATGGTGCCCTGTATTAACAGGTTACTAGTCAGTCTTGCAAGGAAATTGACCAAAGACTTGGAGATTTTACTCAGCCAGTGGCTGTACCCTGACCTTGTGCAGAAGAGTCAAAATAGAATACAGAAGGATTTTCAGCGTCCTGAGAGGATTTGAGGAACAACAGAAAATGTAGAGAAAATTCCTTGCTTTTGCAGTAAAGTAAGAAAGTGAACACTTTAGAATATTTTTTTTTTTTTCTCCCCCCCCAGGTCTATACAATCAACTTGGAATCTCGTTATTTGCTAATACAAGGAGTTCCTGCATTAGGCGTTATGAAGGAGTTAGTTGAACAATTTGCGTTATATGGTGCCATTGAAGAGTATCATGCTCTAGATGAATATCCCGCAGAGCAATTTACTGAAGTTTATCTTATAAAATTCCAAAAACTGCAATGTGCAAGGTATGAGATGGGGCAATATCTGCCTCTTGTCTTAATCTTTTACACCTTCTTTTTTTACAACCTGCTAAGTCTCTGAAGTGAAATCCTCAGTTTTTCCAATACAATTTAATTCTTTCAGGGTGGCCAAAAAAAAAATGGATGAGCGGAGTTTCTTTGGTAGTTTGCTGCATGTGTGCTATGCTCCAGAATTTGAAACCGTCCAAGAAACGAGGGAGAAGTTGCAGGATAGAAGAAAGTACATAGCAAAAGCAACAAATCAAAGAGGTTTGTAATTAAATGTTCTGTAGAATCTTAATGTCCCACTTAAGGGGTGTGTAGCGTTTTGGTTTTGAAAGATACATTTTACGTATATTTGCAGCAGAAAGGAGACATCTATCAATATTTAGAGTTGTTTTTTCAAAACAGCTTTTTGGTTAAGACTAAAATAAAGAATGCTTAAACAGTTAAGTATTTCCTTTTTCTTTTCAAAATGTGATCAGAAATTTCAAGCACTGGCAGGAATTTTTGGATCATCATAAGCTTGTTCCAGCTTGTTCAGGCATGCACAAAGGGACAGTTTTGTAAGGAAGGTGCCTATACCAGAACCTTCAACAAAAAATTTCTCCAGCCTACATACGGGCACTGGAGGAATGCTGAGAATAGACTGGATTTACAAAGGCTGCCCTACTGCTGAGTTCCCAGGCAGGCAGCAGTGGAGCCTGGGCAAGCTGAGAAATAAGCAAATTGCTAAGCAGAGGCTTCTTTCTTGCGCTTACGTGCTTTCATGCCATTTTTCATTGCATGAGGATATTTAAAGGCAGTAAAATCACTGCTTTTAACATCAAAACACTTGTGTTTTCAATGTTGCAAGACAGCCTCTCCTTGAGGTCATAGCTGGAGGTAAAAGTCATTGACTGGAAACATGGGAAATATTTCCCTTGTGTTCTCAAAGCTGCTGAAACACTGCTCAGGCGTTCCTCACAACCCAGCAGAGCGACTAGGCTGAAAGGCTAGTCTGAAAAGTGCTGCTTAGGAGAAAAGAATCAGGAAGGTGGCTGGGAATGCAGCGTCCCTGGTATTGCTTCTGTGACTGTATTAAATGATTTTTATGTGTTAGAATTAATAATGACATGAAATAGTGAAGCTATTTTTTTGTTGTTTCAAAGATTGCTTTGTATTAAAAAAAGTAGAGGAGCCTAAGAAGACAATCTCAAAGAACTCCGAGCCTGATCGTCTGTGGAGTACATCGGGATCACGTGCAGCCAGCTCCTGGGACCTGTCCTGCTTTACAAGTTCTCCCGGCGCATCCCATAACACAGGGCATCCCTCTGGGAGTCCTTATCAGAACCTGCTGACATTTCCCCCTAACAGTGGTGCTGAAACTTCTGGGTACTTTGGTCAAAACGCGTCCCTAACTCCAAGTGGGCATCCAGGAGGACATGGTCCACCGACTTCCTTAATGCGGCAAAGAACGGTGCCGATTGATAACGGAGTCGATAGGTTTATGCCTCGTACAACTCACCTGCAAGAACGTAAGAGGAAGAGAGAAGAAAGCAACAAATTTTCTCTCATTGGAACAAGTGTGGACAATACCGAAGTCATTATTGGTCCACAGCTTCCAGAAATACCCAAAGTAGATTTGGATGATGATTCATTGAATACTTCAGCTACGTTAATTAGAAATAAACTGAAAGAGGTATGGATTCTGAAAGTTTTGACATTTTCATTTTCAGGCATGTATATTATGTGCTTGTTGTCCATAAAAATTGACCCCAAGATAACTTGATTCAACATTTACTCAGTATCATCAGTTTATTTGCCTCCGAAAGCCAGTGTTCTTAGTTCGTAACTCTTCCAGGCAGTACTACAGGCCATTCTGCTCCATAGCTCTTGCACTGCACTTCAGAAAATACAAATGTCAGTGCATGGTCCTAAATGATTTTCTAGTAAACGGCACTTCTTCCACACCAGGGGACATGGTGACTTTGGAGGTAGTCGTGGTGACTCCCGCGTAGTACTTGTATCTGGTTTCTGATTGAAAGGGAGTGGAAAATAGTAAAGTCAGTAGAATTTTGCTCCAACACTTCTTATGGCATTAAAAAATGTTCATAAGCGCACATTCTATGTCTTTAAGCTAGATAACCTTTTATAGAAGATACTAATCAATTTAGCAGGTCAAACACTCCTGATACAATTTTTTTTTTTAAAATCAAGATATGAAAAAGCTCCCTTGAAAGAGCTTACCTCCAGTCAAATTGATAAAGAAGCACCCCTTATTAAAGGCATTTCGAAAATGTGCGTCAAAACACACATTTTCCCTTTTGCGTCCCTTCCTGGAAAACCTCAGTTTAAAAAGCATACTAAACCTTGCTTTGAGAGGTCATAAGATGTGTAACACGCTGCCCTGAGTGTCTGAAATCAGTTTGTGTGGTTAAAATACAAAAATGGTACCGGTAACACTTCTGCTTTTTAAGTTTCAACTGTCTTTTGTTTAATGCTGCTTTTGGGTGTTATTTTTTCCCTTTTTCTGCAGAAAAATTCAATACAAATGTGATTATAGCAATACAGCCCTCCCAGCATTCAAATGTTGGAGACGTGGCCTTACTCTAAAACTAGCATTAGTAAAGGAGTGGTTACAGTTTACTAACTTGTTTTTATTTCCCCCCCCTCTGATGTAGGTAGCAAATTCTGTTTCAAGACCATCTGTGGAAAAGCCAGAGAGTAGCTCAGCCAAACCACTTGTAAAGCAGAGAAGAAGAATATAGATACTGCTGGCAGCATCTTCCAACAGTCCTTGTTAAAAGGATGTAGTTTAAAATACTTATGTTAAAAACTAAACATAGTTCATATTGTATTTGCAAGCATTCCCTGTTAAAAATTGTGTCAATTTGTTTCTTGGAATGAACAAAGCCGTACAATATATTATTGTTACAGTCTTTTTCTGTGTATCTTATACTATAACATATTTCATAACTCAACTGAAGAATTGTATTTAGGTAGAGTAATAGGAGTAGATTCTATTTATTTAGCAGCTTTTACAGTAAAGGAATACTGAAACAGTAACAGTTTCAAGCTGCTCCTGTCTTTACTATGCCATGAAGAATGGTGAAGAAAAAACTCTTACAAGAGTATTCCACTTGGAAAGATGGTTTACGAGCTTCTTGGAAAGTTTTCTCTTCAAATGCCATTCTGCTCTGATAAAAAAAGCAAACCATACAACAGAAAACAAACAAACAGAAGTTAATTTTCAATTAACTAAAGGATTTAAATTTAATTGGAAGAGATGCCAAACTGCAACGTCTCAGCAGTGACAGTCCAGACACGTAGGCTACCTCTTGCTTTACAGCTTGGAAAATGTCAGTTCCACAGCATTCATGTCATCACCGAGAGACCCACCAGAACATCTGAAGTTATAACTGACAGGGAAATTCCAATTGTAAGCGCTCAGCAGCAGCAACCACACGTGCCCAAGAAAGGAGCTGGCCCAGAGGACAAGAAGCCCCAGCTGTACGAAGGCACAACTTTCAGTACTTAAAAGTGGTGTGTGGTTCAAATAGAATAATGATATTGGATTGGAAAAAACCCTAGATCTCATAGAGCAGAAACACTCTCCCCAGTTGAACTTAATGCTAAAGAGAAGAGTATGTTCTAAATCACCGTCTTCCAAAAAAATAAAAGATCTGAATCAAATTATTATTGCTAACATATAAAATGCATTCAGATGCAATTAAAAACTGTAGTGCCATACTCTGACACAAAAACCACTCCAGGTAATTTTTTCAGGAAGTTACCAGCCTCTCCCAAAAGAGGCTGTAAGTGAAGCGATGCCAGTGGCACCCAAGAAAAAAAAAAGTTGTATTCCTGGAGCGCTTTCAGATAAACCATTCAAGAGAACAGTCTCAGTTTCTTAGTCTGTGAGGGTGCTCCTTGAGGATGACTTATGACATTGCTGCCCCAGGGCAGACAAACCCTGAGTAACGGCACGCTGTTGTATTCTCTGGTACCAGAGTTGGACTGTGCAAGGTCAGAGCGGTGCTGTGCGGGGTGGGGCTGAATCCAGCACACGCGTATCTCAACTGACGCGTCTGTCAGCTGACTGCAGCAGCCCCCACGTAACGACAGGCACTACCGTGCTACAGACACCTCGATACCAACAGTACGGAAAGTATTGCACTTCTTTTTTTAAACTCGATCTACCTTTATGTCTGGCAAACATGGTCCAAAGGCTTCTAAGAGAAGATTTTCATCTCTGACTGCTTTTTCAAAGTCCATAAAAGAAAGCTTGCCATCATGATCATAGTCCTACAAAAGAAAGGGAACTATTCAGCAAAGGTTGATTACTTGGAGTAATCTTATTTTTGTTTAATAGGTGTTTCATTGACATGGATGCTATTTTTAGTTTGTTTGTATGCAAAAATCATCTTTGGGCTGTCAGTCTCTGCTCAGACAAGATGCGTATCATTTACTTCTCCCTAAGGCATAAAGGGTGGTGTAAGCTCCGCTACCTCAGGCAGCGTTGCTAATGGGATTCCAGAGAAGGCAAAACTTTAACATGAGAGGAGGCTGAGCTGCGAATTGCATGGACAAATCTCAAGCACAACTGCACCAAAATGAATTATCAGGAACTAAGGGTAAGATGGACCTTTCAGCTGAGGGTGTGAAAAAAAGAGACGAGTCTGAAAAACAGAAAAAGATTATGTTAAATAAAAACAGTTGGGATTCAAGATGAGGTTTTAAGTGAGATTTTCTGACCACTACCATGGGAAGGGAGGTTTTATTTCTTGATTTGATAAAAATGTTGAAGCACAGTCCCTGGCTGATCTGGATATCCTAGAGTAATCAAGGTAGGAAACATTGTAGATTAATAACCTTGAGATGAATATATAAATTGGATAAAGACATTTCATGATCATTTGATACAAGCACAGATGTACTTAATAAAGCTACTGCAGGTAATAGGATTGGATCAGTGGATTGGGTTGGAAGGGGCCTCAAAGATCATCGAGTTCCAAGCCCCCTGCCATGGCAGGGACATCTCCCACTAGATCAGGCTGCTCAAGGCTCCATCCAGCCTGGCCTTGACCCTCCCAGGGATGGAGCATCCACAGCCTCCCTGGGCAACCTGTGCCAGGGTCTCACCACCCGCAGGGTGAAGAACTTCTTCCTTCGATCTAGTCTAAACCTGCACTCTTCCAGCTTCCACCCATTACCCCTCGGCCTGTCAAAAGTGCCTCCCCAGCCTTCTTGTAGCCCCTTCAGGCACTGGCAGGCCACTAGAAGGGCTCCCCGGAGCCCTCTCCAGGCTGAACAACCCCAACTCTCTCCATGAGCTGCTCCATGATCTTGCCAGGCAAACATGAGCATGACTGGCATGTAGTTCCCTGGCTCTTCCTTTTTTCCCTTTTTTTTAAAAAAAATGAGGGGTTTTAGCCCTTTTTGCAAAAAGCAAAAAAGGAAGACCTAGGGAACTCAGATGCCTAACACTGGAATAAACGCACTTTACACTTTTGAATTTTCCACTTTTGACTGGGCTTTTGTTTTGACTGGCTGTGCACATATACACATGCTAGATTATACTTAAAGTCTGTAATACATTCAGATAATAACAATTTCATTTGAGTATACTAGGCTGAGACGCATTAGATCTGGATTACATTTCTGGCTCTCCTTGGGGGACTTGTATATCTCAAGTATGTAACTGACTCTGTGGCTCAGAATCCCACTAAATCAGACGCAGTATTTTGTTACTTCACAGGAAGGTTTCAAAGTTCAGTTAACGAATGTTCGAAAGACACTCAAGTATCACAAGGAGTAAGTACTTGCCATTTTCTTCAGTGCTATGTCGACCAAGTCCTTAATTCCTTCATCAGGATCTTCTTCTGGTGGTTGTTGGATAAGGCTGTTTTTCAGCATTCGAAACATTTCCTCTCTTGAAATATATCCATCACCATTCAGATCGTAAACCTCAAAACAATCTTTTTGAAAGATAAATCAATTGAAAGTTCATACAAAGTCTGTCACACACTATTAAAAGCTGTCTGTTACCTATAGACAGAAAATGTGAATGGCATGTTGTACAGCATATTTATCGAGCTACATTCCTTATATATAATATTCATATATGGAGTATATTGTCACATTTTGATACATGTATCAGTCAACTATTGCCTATTGACCCTTTTTAGTTAAAATTATTTCTGCTCAAATAAATAATCTTCAGTTCACAGAAACCATACTAACTTATGGATATTAAACTTCTCTAAAATTGTCTATTCAGAATATAAACAAGGTTTTGGGTTCGAAGCCCAATTTCCCACAGTGAGTACCAGCTGTCTATGTCAGAATGACTTTGCACCCACAAAACACATCCTCATAATTTCAGAATAAGGGTTGGAAAAGTAAAGGAAAAGGAAGAATGAGTGGTTCTAGCATGGAAAAGACAACTGAAGTATCCCTTAATGCAGAGACAAAATCCACATAAGAATACATATCTGCCTAATTCCTCTTCTGATTGTTTCTAGCTGCCCAGAATCAGAAATCTACAACCATAATAAACTTTGCTATCCTTCACAAAACTCGTTTAAACAAACAAGCAAAACTTCAGCCTTTAGTTCTGGAACACAGGAGGGTGTTTTTTTCCTGACAAAGACAATGTCTACAGGGAAAAGCTGCTGGCATACACTTAGGACAGACACCGCTGTGTATCCTCGAGCGCTTACAGCAGGGCTGCAGAAGTCACTGCTCGCAGCGGTACTGACACGCCCGATTACGCCCTGGGCACAAGCCCTAGTGCTGTGTCACTCCAGGCCACTTTCCGGATGAATTTACACAGCGCATTAGGGATGGCTGATGCTACAACCTGGGAACTAGGGAAGAAACACGCTTTCATTCTCCTTTCCCTATTACTCTTTTTTTTTCCTCCACATGCTCTATTTTATTCTATTTCCCTGCTTCTTAAAAATTCTGGAGTTCTTGCTATTTCTTCTCCTCTATCCTTCTCCATCATTAGTAAGGAGGGTCTCATGACCCTCTTAAAAATAGACTTAGTTTTTCCATCTATGCTTCCAAGATGATGAATGGCTGGAATTAATGCAACTGCTGCCCTGTCCCTCTTGTGCCAGTAAATCAATGTTGCCACAGGGCATGGCTGGCTTGAGACTGTTATGTTGCCAAAATCACCCCTGAGCTACATCTGCTTCTTTCTAATTTTGTGTGTGAATAAAAACAAATATATTCTGTCAAAACTTTATAATGTAGAACAAGGTTCAGTCTAAATGCTGGATTTGTAAGCAGCAAAATAAGGTGGCAGCTCTAAGGGCACAGAAAAAACCTCTGTCTCAGAGAAGCCATTTCAGAACTTGTTTCTCTGCATTAAACTATACAGAAGAAAGCTCTTCAGTTACCAAATACTTTGTAAGAGTAAGTCCTAAATGATAACAAACCTTGTAAGAGTAAGTCCTAAACGATAACAAAAGTGTAATTTAGTAGCCATGAATTCAATGATTACTATTGAATACTAGCATACAGCCAAATCTTACATTTAATCTTTTCTTCAAGTGTCCCCCGGAGAAGTATGGCTAGTCCTTCCACCCACTCCACCACACCGATGCTGCTATTGTTGTCTTTATCAAAAGTGCGGAACACTGGGAAGCATATTAGATAACATTCTAAATTTACATAATAGGAAAACACAAATAAAGGAATATTTTCTTAAACTCAATGAAAGTATAAACACATATTTTTTCTGAAGATGTTTCGCTGCTTTCACCAAGGTATGAATACCCTTCCTGAATCTTTCTAAGGGGAATTTCGCCCCTCTGTTTACTGATCTTCCACTCCAGAATCCTGCTGGGATAAGGTATTTTGTTTGATCTGTTGCTTTCCTGACTTAAACAACTACAGGATGTATGCCTCCATGCAGGTGTAAACCACATAAACCAATACCCCTTACACCTAGGCATATCTGCATACAGAAGAACATTTTAACGAGGTTTTTGACTCAGGAAACCTTCGAAAAAGTAATCCCAGACAGAATACAGAAATATTTTTCATGTAACAAAATACTTTTTTCTTCTCCTTTCCCTGAAGTAGGAAACTCTCAGCCTTGCACCATCACTATTCATACAGCCTGTAATATAGTACTTCAATATATAATTCAAAGCATCAACAAACATCTATAATAAATCATATTTCACAATGTTCATGAGTAGGTGAGGTACAGCGACACCTCTACATGCAGAGCTAAGCACTTTGGAACTGGTGAAAACAGGTTTGCTTTTGCAAACTGAAATCAGCTCCCTTGTATGTAATCATTAAAACAATATTTAAGGATGTGTCCCTGTCCTTCCTGCAACCTCCGAGCCTGAACCAGGCTGTAGCCACCAGCAGCGGGGACTGCAGCTCCCGTGGGAACCTTGACAAGGGAGGCAAGTGACACCGGGCTGGCCTCTGACAGCGACCGGCACAGAAAGGGCGTCAGGACGGTGCAACAGCTGCCCCTCAGGCTGCTCTCCCTCGTACGACGCCGTCAGCTATCCTGAACTAAGGGAAAACTGTTCTGCACAGACAAAAAAAAAAGGCAAAGATACACTTTACTGTGTGGGAATCCTGCTGGACACACAGGGGAAAAATACGACCAGGTTTTGGTAAAACAAACTGTTGTGATATGTGAGGACCTTGCTGGACACCTGGAAGATAAAACTGGACTAGGCTGGGGTAAAACCAAGCTGCTGCGAACAAGCCGCGCAGGATAGCGCAGGATAACGGTTGAGGAATGCACCAGAAAGATCAGGCTGGGAAACGGCGTGGAAGCGTGTGGGAACAGACGTGACCGAGACAGTCGCAAGGACGAGCGTATCAGGAACACCATGAGTAACCCTGCTGGGCTCTGCGGTTCAGGGACAGCAAACTGCGGGTACGCGGCTCTCGGGGCCTCA